GCAAGTGGACAGGTGATAAGGAGAGAAATTTCATTCATCATTTAGTTGCTGTCTTTTATGTAGTAGTTTAGAAGTTATGTTTCATGCGTTCATTTAGTTATACTGTGCTCCACAGACCTAGTTTATCCCTAAGGGCAGTGGGCACTTTCAAATTCTTTACTTTTTATTTTTTTTTTAAAGATTTATTTATTTATGCATACAGAACAGGCCAGAGGTGCAAGGGCTGTGAGAGGATCCACCAGAGACAGAGTAGGGAGCAGAACAGACAGATCTACCAAGTATACTGCTGAGGGGAGCAGCGGTCCCACATGGCAGGTCAGGAGAGGTCTGCCGTGCCATGTGGATCTCCTTCGGGGTGGGCAGGGATTGAACTCATGCTGAAGTGGCTTTAGCTTCTTCGTGCTGTGCTTTAACCCGCTGCGCCACCAGGGAGGGCCCGAAATTCTTTATTCTTTAGCAAAAAAAAAAAAAAAGCATTTGGAATAATCTATACAGATCATTAAATGACAATGGTGAGACAAATTGATAGATAACCCTCTGCTCTGATAATATATGTCCTAAAAACTATAAAGATAGATTCTTATTTTAAATCTGATTTACAGTTGATTATGCTTAAACATTTTTTTTAAAGTTTAACTTCAATCTTCAACTGATCTAATTTTCTGGCTAAAAAAAAATAGAATGCTAAGATATTAAGAAAAAATAAGTTAAATTTCTAATAAGGATTAACAATGTTATCAGTATACATAATGTTTTTTATTTAATGTTCATCTATGGATGTAAAGCTTATATTTCAGATCAGTCTTTGGTTTAGACAACACAGTTCCATAGATGTAATTTTCTGTGTGTTATACCAGAAATGGCAAAAGCATTTGCCACAAAGATGATTTCTTATGCTTCAAATATTCTGAAAAATACTTTTACGGAGTAAAAAGTACTTTTTACTCTCAAAAAGTCTTAATTTTCCATCAAATAATTTTAAAAGCAGTCAGAGGCTTTAATAGTTGAAACCAAATTCCTGATCAGTGTGGCTACCTGTGGAATTTCACAAGCACACTCTGCAGTCTTTGTGGTGACCACAGTGACGTTCTAAGTGGTTGACTGAGTTTTATTTTTGACTCTGAGGGCGATTTTATTTTGACTTTAATGGAAAATAGTGGTCATTTCCTAGTTAAGCTTTTTATAAAAATTCAAACGTTATACAGTTTGTGTTGAGGTTTACAGGACTTTTGTGGAATTGAGTGAAGCAAGAATTAGGGATTCCATGAACGCCATCAAGGTTAAACCTGTTTAAGAGAAGGCACGCGGCACCAGAGGGGCAGAAGGAGGAGTGGAATTTCAGCATGGAGACTCCCGTTGGTCTCTAGTTACCCAGGCTGGGAGCCACAGGCTTTCCTGACCAGTTTGTTATGTTTCTTCTTCTGTTACAGTGTTTGAATATGGGTTTGATTAAAGATCCCTGAAATCATGTGTGAGTACTTCTTTAACATTACAGTCCTCTTAAATGTGTGGCACTTAAGGAACTACAGAAAAATATACCAGATTTGTTAGTTGAATTTATCTCTATCAGAAATCTATTTTTCAAAGATGGAGGGATTATCAGTTTTCAGTGTAAGTTATTTTTAGGGTGTTTTCCCTGTGTTGGTTAGATGCCCTTCTCCTCTATTTTTAAGACACTCTCATCATTCCAAAGAGTCTTTGCGACTCTTCTCTACACTGAGTCTGTTTGCTATTTATCTTCTGTCTGTCTGTCTATACTGGAATTCTAACCTGGACTAGTGTGTAAATATTTAGAATGTTCCCTGTATAGGGGCACACACCAAAGGATGAGTGGGATTTGAAATTTAGACTGCCCACAGACTGTGCCCTGTGGATATGAGCTATGTTAGTAGGGCAAAGGGTGGTAGAGATCTTGGGATTATAGTTTACAGTAAAATATTTCCTAACCTTCTCATACTTTGAGATTTGAATGTTGTCAAGTTTTCCTTTGTCTTAATTTTTAAAAATTAAATATAACATGTTATTTACATTTTTTAAAGTGTACAGTTTTTGTGCAATTATTACTACCATCCATTTCTGGAATTTTTTCATCTTTCTCAACTTAAATTCTGTACCACTTAAATGCAAATTCCTTATTTTCTCCTCTCCCCATAGACCCTGGAAACCACCATTCTATTTTCTGTCTTTGAATTGACTGAAAAAAACTAAAAACTAATTCACTTTGCTATGTAATTTATATAAGTGGAGTCATACCGTATTTATTCTTTGAGGACTATTTTATAATCTCTATTGACATAGTATCTTAGAACTTTATCCATGTTATAGCATTTATCAGAATTTCTTGATTTTTAAAGGCTGAATATTATTCCATTGTATGTATACACACTTTTTTTTTTTTTAATTTATCTGTTGGTGGATGCTTGGTTTGCTTCTCCCTTTTGTCTATTACAAATGATGTTACCATCAACACAAGGTTGGGGGTGTACAGATTTGTCCTGCTTTCAGTTCTCTTGTGTATTTACCCAGAAGTAGAGTATATGATATGGTAATTCTGCATTTAATAGTTTGAGGAACTGCCATATGGTCGGTCACAACAACAACATCATTCTTTCTTTTTTTAATTTTTAAATTTATTTATATATGTATTTACACCATTGTTCATTTTTAAACAATGTTTGCTTTCTTCCCCCTCACATGTAGTCCCCACAGAATTTCCTCCCCCAACTCACCAGTGCACCATCACTACAGTCCCCTGTGTGTCTCACTCCCTCCTTTCCATCCCTCTTCCTTCCCCTCCCCTGCAGGTTCTCTGTTTTATAATTGTCTGTTTTTGTTTTGTTGTGCTGTGTTTGTATTGTTACTGTTTTTCCCATGACATCTTATTTGATTTCCCTATATTCCTTCTATAAGTGAAACCATCTGATATTTTTTTATTTTTTCAATTTTTATCATTTTATTTTTCATTTTCACTTCTCCAATAATTAGTGATATTGAGCAACTTTTTTTTTTTTGAGATTTATTTATTTATTTGTACAGAACTGGGGTACAGGCCAGAGATGCGGACGGTGAGAGGATTCACCAGAGACAGAGTGGGGAGCCGAACAGGCAGATCAACGAAGTACACTGCTGAGGGGAGCAGTGGGCAGGTCAGGAGAGGTCCACCACGCCATGTGGTCACCTCTGGGGCAGGCGGGAATCGAACTCATGCGGAAGGGCTTTGGCTTCTTTGTGCTGTGCTTTAACCCGCTGCGCCACCAGGGAGGGCCTATTGAGCAACTTTTTATGTGCTCATTGGCCATTGGTATATTTTCATTGGAGGAATCATCTGTACAAATCTTTGATTTAATTTTTAAATCAGGTTTGTCTTTTTCTTTGAGTTTCAGGAATTCTCAATATTCTATATGTGAATTCCTCACTGAATATATTTACAAATATCTTCTCTCATTGTGTAGTTTACATTTTCATTCTGTTGACTATGTCACTTTCTGTATATAAGTCTTTAATTTTGGGGTGGTCCATTTTATTTATTTTTTGTTGTAGATCTTATACATTTGGTGTCATTAGCAGGAAATCATTGCCAAGTACAATGTCATGAAATCTTTCCCCATATATTTTCTTCTAAAGGTTTTATATTTATAGTTCTTACATATAGATCTTTGATCCATTTTGACTCAACTCTGTATACACCATGTAAGGTGAAGGTCCATATTCATCCTTTTGCACATGACTATCCAATTTTCCCATGGTATTGTGTCTTCAAGATTGTATGTAATCAAGTTTTTATCAGTATGGATAAAGTCTGGAAGTAAGATGGTGAAGACAGAGTAAGCAAAACTTCACATCTCTATTCTCCAGGAATGAATTTACTGGCTTAGCAAAGTAAGAGTAGCTGGGCCATGTAAACATTCACCTCCCAATAGTCTACCTTGTTAGGATTACCATTCAGGGTTAGCTCCCTTAGGTGAAAAGTGAAAAGGAAAAGGGTTAAGCTGTTCCTGATACTGATCTGGGTAAAGAAGAGTGATTCTGAAATCTCTGCCCTTGGGTTTTGCCCTTTGATCTGACGGTAGACCAGAACCATAACTACTCAGACATTTTTTAGAACGTAATACGTGCTAGGCAACAGCTATCTAATTCTATTGTAAACATCATCAATTTTTTTTTTTTACTAAAGAAGAGCTTGTATTTTGGCAGAGTTAGTAAGAAAACTTCATGATATCTTGAATATTCAAATAATTTCCATGTACTGTAAAACAAGTATTGTGTACCTGCTGGAAGAAGCTAGTATGCCTGTTTTTGTGATACTGATAGTGATAATAATAATGGGTGAGCAATTCCTACAATTGAGAGACAGTACAATTTAGGGTAAGAAATACAGACTGAAGTCAGAAAGAACTAAGTTTCGCTACAGCTTTGCTATTTATGAGATGTTTGCTTTGGACAAGTTGGTTAAACATTCCCAATCTGCTTTCTTCTCTGAACTGTGCGAATAATAATAACCAGTGTTATGCAGCTTTATGAAATGAAATGTGTATGTCAAGTGCTTTGAGAAGGTAGACTCACTATAAATTCTCAGTAAGAGGTTGGTATTGATGAGGGGAGAAAATATCCTATACCAGCCTTGTTTGTCCAAAAAGGATCTTTGCCTTCACTGAGAGAACGGAATGTAATATTGGAGGGAATTTAACTTGCCATGGCTTTATTAGTTTTGTTTTGCTTTTCTTCTTAACTAAACAAGATTGAGGGTTGCTAACATTTTTCTTTTATTTCCTTTTTTACCCCAGTGTCTGATTTTCAGGTTCTTTGCTTTTTTAAAATGGAGATTGTCTTTGGAATTCAGGTTTTGAGTTTTCTTGTAATTATCTACTCATATTTACATGTGTTTTCCTCCCCTTATAAAGCATAATCATATGTTGGTTTTACTGATCTCTTTTCTGCTTGGTGACTGTTTCACAGTTTTGTGGAGTAACTCTCTCAATCTTTGGCATTGATCCTTCCAGTGAGAAGAGGGGATGTCCTGGCTGCGTGGAGTGGTATTCGTCCCCTTGTCACAGATCCCAAGTCTGCAGATACTCAGTCCATCTCCCGAAATCATGTTGTGGATGTCAGTGAGAGTGGCCTCATCACTATAGCAGGTATGGTTATTGCATCCTTGTGTGGGTGCATGTCAACAGGAGTTTGACTTAAACCGTCACATGGGTGCTCTCTAAATGTTGAATGAACAGAGATTTTTATGCATGTATGATTCTGAGCAAAGTCTTATGCATTGTTTTGGCATATTGTTCGTAAATAAAAGGTTGCTTGTATCATTAGGTTGAGGTAAATTATAAGAACAATAATGAATGATTTACTTATCAACTTTTTGTAGGTGGCAAGTGGACAACTTATCGATCTATGGCAGAAGATACCATAGATGCTGCTGTCAAGACTCATAATTTGAAAGCAGGCCCAAGTAGAACAGTTGGGCTTTTCCTGCAAGGGGGTAAAGATTGGAGCCCTACTCTCTACATTAGGCTTGTCCAGGATTATGGACTTGAAAGTGAGGTGAGTGTGCCTTGTAGCATCCTCTTGTTTTCTGCCTTACCTCGTAGTAGAATATACAGCCTGTGGTCTCCCAGATTGAGAGTTATCTTTTGCTAGGTTTATGACTGTCCTCGTATTGTGGAAGTGAACTAAGAAAAAAAGAGACGATTTGCTTTGCTTTCGTTGCCTAAAAAGCAGTGCACATTTTAATTTCTCTGTTCAAATCTGGAGTGAGTGTGGTTTACCCCTAAAAACTGCACATCCCAAATTCTTTCTGTCCAGCATAAGGGAAGCTGTTCATCAGGAGTGATGTTGAGAGCAGAGTGAAGCTGACTCTGCATCCATCACTGAGACAGTGGTCCATGTGCAGTAGAGTTAATGCTGGCCTAAGCATTCAGTGTGCAAGTGGTTTCCTCCCAGAAAATCCAAATCTAATCCTCTCCTAGAACTATTAGTTACACACTCCAAAAAACTGATAAGATAAGCACATAGATTTTTGGATTTGTACCTAGAAGCTGTTGCTATTTACAGTTTCTGCCTAATGCAATTTTGTTTCCTAGGTGGCACAGCATCTGGCTGCCACCTACGGTGACAAGGCCTTTGAGGTGGCCAAAATGGCAAGCGTGACGGGAAAGAGGTGGCCCATTGTTGGAGTACGTCTTGTGTCAGAATTTCCATACATCGAGGCAGAGGTATGTGAAGAGCCACATAGCCATTTTCTTCCACCGTTGGGATACCTGTTCATTCCTCATCTTTTTTAAAAATCACATATATCTAAGTTTCAGTGCATATTATGTCAGCTAAAACCTGGAATAAAATGTTGCCTAGCAAAAATCCCTTCTTTTACACATTTTCATTTTAATTGGGATGTGATGTTGGTAGTGATATAATAATAATAATAGAAGATAGGGTTATCCATCTTCTCTACTGTGTTGTCCCATTTTTTAACAGGGCAACGCTTTATCCCTTTTGTGATCTTGAGGCTCTTCATGTTAGTATTGCTTATATGCTGTGTGATGACATATCTTGATTTGACACTAACTTCTCAAAAATTTAAGCTTCTTTTCTCATCATACTTTCATATTTTCTGAAACTGGACACTTTATATTTATTTCTGATTCACTGTGCCTTAAATTCTGGGTTTTCAGTAACATTTGCTTGTGGGTTGGATTCAATATTCTTATGACCTGGTTATTCTGAGGCAGAAAACTTTGACCAGTCTGGAGATGAAACTAACTTTGAAGCACTAACTCTGAGCCTACTTAGCTATGCAAATTAGCATCCATATTATGTATAAATAAAGAGGTAGGTAATTAATATGGATGGTAAATGAGAAGTGATACACTTAGCATGTTTGCCAGGTTCCATTCAGGAAGAAAGTATTAACTCTTGTTCAATTTATCCCATTTTCCAAACCTGTGTTGGCAGGCAGATGGAGAACTTAATATGATGTCACTATTTGTCTCATGCCTACTCAAGAAACAGTATCAAGAAAAATGTCACTTTTCCTAAGCATTCATTTTTTTAAGTGAAACTTTATTTCCTCTGTTTTATAAAAGGTCTAAACTATTCATTTTACTTTCATTCAAACAGGTGAAATATGGGATTAAGGAGTACGCCTGCACTGCGGTGGATATTATTTCACGGCGCACTCGGCTGGCCTTCCTGAATGTCCAGGCCGCAGAGGAAGCCCTGCCTAGAATTGTTGAGCTGATGGGCAGAGAACTGAATTGGGACGATTATAGAAAAGAGGTATTAAATAGAAGCCTTTATAATGGCAGCTACCATAGTAAACATGTATTTTTTGCTTTGTTAGTACAGACTAGCATTGTTTTTGTAGGTAACTATAGATTTTCCAATTTCCATGTGTGTAAATATTTTTATGTCATAGAATGCTTGAAAATTAATATTGTACCAAAATATAGTTGTTTCTAGAGATTCTCTTATAGAAAACTACTCTCAAGTTTGCAGCCCTACTTACAGTGGGACTGTGGATAGAATTCTTTCTGTTTTTCATACTATTAAAATTCTACAGTGCAATTCACACTTTTATGAATTTGCCTTTAGTAGGAAATAGTGGTTTTATCATGTGACCATTAAATGCTTGTCAGTTTGTGCCAGCTAAGACTTTATATACAAATTAAAAAAAGAAGTCAATGATACTGCG